CTCAGCTGCACACAGTGTGTACAGACAGGTGTGTTGATACAGGTGTGAGACTCACCTGAATGCAGCCCTTCATGCCGCTCTGCACCTCTCCAGCCCCCAGGATGCCCCCAACATGCAGGTGTTTCACTTTGAGCCCATGGAGCTCACTGCCCACTACCACTGTCCCCTGGGAGAGAGGGGGACAGAGAGGGCATTACCAACTCGGAGACACTGCTGGACGCGCCCGCACACAGACAGCCGCGTGGACACGGGACCGGGCCGCACACCCGCCTGACGCACCTGGAAGAGGCCGAAGTCGAGCCGGACGGTGGCGACGTAGCGCGCGTCCCTCCCGCTGCTCACGTTGCGCAGCTCCAGCTGCAGGTTGTGCCAGCGGCCGTCGTCCACCGCCACCGCGTCCAGCAGCAGCCTGACCGCACGGGTCGACCCGCGGCTCACCGAGAACACCAGCTGGCCTCCGGACAGCTGCACCCACGGGCGGGACACGGGGTTAGCAGAGCAACACTCAGCCGAGAATCTGCGATGCTCCATCACACTCTGTACTGCTGACACCCCGTACCGGTCAGTGACACCCCGTACCGGTCAGTGCCATTTTGTACTGCCCAATTACACTCTCAATGTATGCAACGCAGATGCAGAGATTAAAGTAGACATCCAAAATTAGATATAACCTGGCCATCACCACAATCAGCGATACGCTGAATTAGAGATGCAACCTGAACTAGTAGACTGTGTACCATCACAGCTTAGTCACGCCAGCTCTGTACTGGTGCAGTACAGCCGGTGGCGCTTTCATACTGGTCTGCAGGGGTCTCTCTCTGACCTGGAAGAGGATGTTGGTGTACTGCCCAGCCTGCGCCTGCAGAAGCACCCCATCGCTGCCCCTCGTCCGGAACACCAGTCCCAGGTACCAGGGCATCGAGATCGTCGCCTCCCCCTTCAGGTCCCACCAGAGGGCGCTGTTCCCCAGGAAGCGGTGAGGGTGGTGCATCACTGCTCAGAGATGGGGGGAGAGGGGAGGGACAGAAGGTCAACCCCCAGGAGGGTGCAGCTGTCCCGGCGTGCCCTCCTGCCGGTCTGCGCGACCGCCGGACTCACCGTGGCTGCAGTCCTTGCCCCCGAAGCCCAGGGGGCAGTCGCAGGAGAAGGTCTCCCAGCTGACCCGGCAGGTTCCTCCGTTCTGGCAGGGGTTGACCTTACAGAACGGCAGCTTGGCACTGCAGCCTGGGAGACAGGAGAGGGGAGAGAGGAGAGAGGAAGAGAGTGAAGTAGGAAGAGAGACAGGAGGGAGGGAAAGGAGTGAGAGGAGAGAGTGAAAGAGACAGGAGAGGGGAGAGAGGAGAGAGGAAGAGAGTGAAGTAGGAAGAGAGACAGGAGGGAGGGAAAGGAGTGAGAGGAGAGAGGGAAAGAGACAGGAGAGGGAGAGTGGAGCATGAGAAAGGAGGAAGGAGAAAGTGGAGAATGTGAGAGAGGAGGGAAAGAGTGAGAGAGAGAGGGAGGGAGGGATGGAGAGGCACACAGAGTGGAGGAGAGAAGGACAGGGACGGAGGGAGAAAGATTCAGGAGGACGGGAGGGAGCGACAGAGCCCCACTCTGTAACACTGCTCTTCAGCAGATATCCCGCGGGCCGGGGGACTGACCGGGCAGCGTGCCGTTGTTGGCGATGTAGGTTGCCATGTCGACGGGGCGGTTGTCAATGTGCAGGTCCCGCATGCAGCCGATGAACTCGCGGCTCTGCACCGGAAAATTCCCAGGGAGGTTGGGGACGCCGCCCAGCAGCAGGGGGCCGGTCAGGTCCAGGGACCTGTGAGCACGGAGGAGAGAGGAGAGACAGAGCAAAGATGACAGAAGAAGAGTATAGCGACACACACCACTGCTCCCGCAGAGGCGCTGCTGTGAGCCTTTACAGCTAATACTCTGCTGAGCCGGGCATCAGAGGGCAGGGCTCGTTAAACTGTCCCCCGAGGACTAGAGGGACCATCCATCCAAGCTTGAAATACTTAATTGGTCTAATTGCTTAATTGGGAAAGCCAATTATTCAATTAACTGAGCGGGAACTCACTTCTTGGAGCTGCTCTGCAGGCCCTGCGCCGCACAGCTGTAGTTGCTGATCTGCTGGCCGAAGGTCAGGGCCACAGCCGTGTCGCAGTCGTCCACCGTCAGCACCGCCGCCTTCTGCTCCGAGGGGCCCTGTGCCTCGCCCGCCGCGCTGCGCTTGGGCTGAGGGGCAGAGGGAGAGCCAGAGGGACACTGTAGGGACACCACCTGAGAGGACGCTCGGCGCACAGGAGGACGGGGCAAGGGGGCGTAGGGAACTGACAGGCAGACAGGAGACAACACAGGCAGACAGGCAGACTCCGGGATGCTCTGGCCCCATAGACAAGACAAACCCCCTGTATGCAGTTAGACTGAACACCCACTAGGGGGCGCCTGAAACTTAAAGTTCATGGAGGTTTCCAGGCCGTAGATAAGCGCCAGCCGGGCCTGGCCAGTGGCTGAGGGGGCAAGGAAGCTCTCAGCTGACGGAAGGGTGGGGAGGAGGAAAGGGAGGGCAGGGATTAAGCGATTGGGGGGACAGGGTGGTAGCTAAAGTCTAGACTCTGAGCTGTTCACCTTGAATACTGGACAAAGGAAAACCTAGTCTTCCTTCATCACTGCCTGCCAGCGAAGAGGCCGACTATGAGACTGAGGCTGAGGAGATCCTGGGAGTCTCTTACACCAGGCAGAGAGGTGGGCTGGCAGGCAGGCAG